GTTGTTGGTGCGACGAGTGGTGATGTGAGTCATGCTGTGGCCTGATTGCGGTAATATCCTAACCTGTGAATTAGACTGGATCCGCTGCTATCCATGGTTTGAGGGGTAAGAAGGATGTGTCGGTTACTATTCTGCATCCCAAGGGCCGTGTCAGTCCTATTCAGGAGCTTCAGATGACGACGTGCACTGATGCCAACGTGCACAACCTTGCCGTCACCGGAACCTTTGACGACTGCCAGGTGAGTACGCCTTTTGCACGCCCTTCGCGCCGCGCTAACGAATTGATAGGACATCGTCAAGGCCCTCTTTGGCGACCCCGAGACCAACGCCTCCCTCAAGCTCGGCGCCGTCAACTCCATCAACTTCTCCCGCATCCTCGCCCAGATCGTGTACTACTTCTACTCCTACTTCTCCCTCGCCAAGAAGTCCTCCACCTTCAAGGTCGGCGACAAGGTGCGCTTCGTCGTCCCCACCGGAAACTTTGGCGACATCCTCGCCGGCTACTTCGCCACCCGCATGGGTCTTCCCGTCGACAAGCTTGTTATCGCGACTAACGAGAACGATATCCTTGATCGATTCTGGAAGTCTGGAAAGTACGAGAAGCAGCCTGCCAAGGGCCCCGAGGCTCAAGGTGGCCTGGAGGTCGATGGTGTCAAGGCCCATGAGGAGGGCGTCAAGGAGACTCTTAGCCCTGCTATGGACATTCTGGTTTCGAGCAACTTTGAGCGTCTGCTCTGGTTCTTGGCTTATGAGTTTGCCGCTACTGTTGGTATGGATGTTGAGTTCAACCGCAAGCAAGCTGGTCAAGAAGTCGCCACTTGGCTCAAGGATCTCAAGGTCAAGGGCGGTTTCGGCCCCGTCTACGTGGACGTTCTCAACAGCGCCCGCAAGACCTTTGAGAGCGAACGTGTCAGCGATCCCGAGACCCTCGAGACCATCAAGAGCATCTACGAGCAATTCAGCTACGTTCTCGACCCCCACTCCTCCATCGGCGTCACCGCCTCTCTCCGATCTGCTCAACGCGCTGAGGCCAACATTCCTCACATTTCTCTGTGCACAGCTCACCCCGCCAAGTTTGCTGGTGCCGTTGAGCTTGCTCTCAAGGATGAGAAGGACTTTAACTTCCAGGAGAAGGTTCTCCCCGAAGAGTTTGTCGGTCTTGAGAAGTTGCCTAAGCGCGTTTCTGATGTTTCGAATGATTGGAAGGCTGTGAGGGAGCTTGTTAAGGAGCAGGTTGAGAAGGAGCTTAGTGGACAGCGATGAATGTGAGATGAAAGAAAAGGTGTTTGTTCTGGGTTTCGAATGCATACTTAGAGGGTTAAAATGATCAAAAGACAAAAGATGAATTAGACATATTTTCTGTGATTTCTGAGTTTAAGATGACCTGAATATGACATGATGAAGTGAATGTTGCTGAGCCGGTTTCGGGGACTCATTAATGTCCGCCCTGGGCTTCATTAAAAATACGCCTTGTTTGCCTCGTCGAGCCATTTTTTTTGGCGCTATTTATATGCCAGAAGTCTCACATGGCTAATTCGCAAGGGTCGGCTGGGGTAAGTGAAGTGCCAAGATGGTCTAATGTTCAGCTGAGACAACCCCTGCTTTCAGCAAATATGCCTCAACAAGTAGATAAATGCCCTACGTCCTCGACCAAACTTTAAAACTTGTCAAATTATTCAATCACCAGCTCTTAATTGACAACAATGAGGTCTCATTTGTTTACTCTGCCTCTGCTCTCAGGTCTAGCCAGCATATCAGCTGCAGCCAACACCGAGAGTGGCTATCTAGCAACCGTCACCCTCGCCCCAACAGCCTCAGGAGCCGCAGCTTTTGATCTTGAAGAAAAGCGCGCAGAATGCTTTCAAGCTTGTTACAAGACGTATGGAAACTACAAGTCTTGTACCAGAGAAGGTGTTGTTCAGTGCTGGTGCAATGACTCTGTTGATTGGGTTGAGAGAGAGGAGGATTGCGTTTGGGATATCTGTGGTCCATCTGCGTATAACCGTAAGTCTCAATCTATGGGTAATTTGCTGAATAGAGAGCTGACCTTGTGCTAGTCTATGGGGATGTTTTGAAGAAAGTCTGTGAGACTGTTACGGCTTCTGCTAGCCAGGCTACTGAGACTGGATCAACGGTTAGTTCGCATAGAGACGAAGTTGGAAATGGATTGCTAATATGGAATAGTCTTCTGATGAGAAAGTAACTTCAACTTCGGCAGAGACCACGAGCAGAAGCACAGCGGAAACTACAAGCAAAGATGAAACTAGTCAAGCTCAAGCAACGGAGACCTCAACTTCTGGTAGTGATTCCACAACATCGAGCAGTGAATCAGCAGCAGCAACTACGAGTGCTGAACCAAATAGTGCTTGGAAAATGGGTTCATCGTTGGGTGTTACGGCTATCCTTGCTATTGGTGCAGTCTATCTTGCCGGAATGGCGTTTTAATGTTGCAGTAGTTTTCCAGAGAAGTAAATATAGTAGATAATTACATACTATTGAAACTTGCAATTTTAATTATTATCTCAGGAGTCCTTAGGGAGTTTTCAAAGTTTCGACGATAACCCAGGATGCTGATATTGACTGGACTAAAGGTTTACTAAAGAGATACTACAAATATTCTAATTACTTGTTATAGAGGCCTTGCGCTTTATTACTTCCTAGGGATTATTCATCTAAATTCAAAGGCCTATGTCAACGAGATCGTAGTCAGTGTTAGTGCTCTTTATTGGTTGGCTCTCAACAGGCTCCTACGTCACTACACAACCAAGTTTCAAAGCACAAGACTAACCTTGTTTTAGAGCTTAATAAAGTCAGAGACCCTTATCGTTCACCGATATCAACTTGTCTAATCTATACCGAGGATCAGATATCTAGTCGTGACACTGCGTCATCGCTCCACAATGTCCCCAGGAACATGGCAGGGCGGGTGTGGGGCTCCAGAACCTTTTGGGTATATCAAAAAGTTCCCTGGTAAATGATCGTCACGGAGCTGAAGGAATGAGGCCGAGATCTACATGTCAGTAAACGAATTTGAAACCATCAAGGGTCCGATATTTATTTCCTTTATCAGGCCTAGTTCTGCGGCAAATTCTTTGGGTATTATTAAGGTCCTCTTGGCGGAGACCCTTGGAAATCTTTATTTATCGATGCACACTGATGTTACTAAATCAACTATTCAAGAATTCTGTGAGCTTGAGATACGAACCATGATAGAAACGTGGCAGATTATATTGGGTGGCGCTACTCTCTCTGGGTACCTGCTGGCCTTGCTACACCAAGATAACCAGAAGTCAAGATTTTTGCTTGGCTTCTTAGGGACGTTGTGCTTAGAGACAGCCCTATGGTGCTTTTATACGATCATATTACGCCCTCGATTTATATCGCCGCTTCGCCATATTCCGACGCCTGGGAGAAATCACTGGCTTTGGGGTCATGGGATGAAGCTGTATCGAGAGCCGTACTGCTCACCAGTAAGAGAATGGTAAGTAGACTTGTACCTAAATGGTTAAACGCAACTCATCAATCTGGTAATAGGAACGAAACAGTCCCCAACGATGGCTTTTTACGATATCTGGGCTTCTTTAACGCCGAGAGAATCGTTCTCACATCTCCCGACGCCCTTCACGAAGTTCTCGTCACCCAGAATTATTCATTCCCAAAGCCTGCCAGCTTGAGAGAAACGGCAGGGAGATTCTTAGGAATAGGGCTTATCCTTTCTGAAGGAGATGCCCATAAACTGCAGAGACGGAGCATAAATCCTGCTTTTGCACCCAAGAACATCAAGGCTCTGTATCCGCTATTCTGGGACAAGACGAGAGAAATGGTCGAGAGAATCACAGCGGATAGACTTGAGACAGTGGAGGTGGTAGAGTGGGCATCGAGAATAACTCTCGATCTCATCGGTGTAGCAGGCCTAGGAAGGGACTTTGGGGCCATACAAAATGCGAAGAACGAGATTGTAAAGACATATGACATCGTGTTTCAACCATCAGCCCAAGCCCGTATGCTGCATTTTATCGAGAGTCTGGTCCCAGCCTGGGTCCTCACAGCTTTACCTATCAAACTCAACTCAGATATGAGCCAGGCAGCCCGATCGATACGAGAGACGTGCAGAGACATAATATCTTCGAAGCAGAAGAAGCTGAAGGAGAAGAAATTGGATGATATGGATATCATCTCTGCGGCGATACGGACTGGGACGTTCACTGAGGATGGACTCATTGATCAAGCAATGACATTACTCGCAGCTGGTATGTCTTACCCTCCAGAATCACTACCACGACTGACAGTTGCAGGACATGATACAACAGGTGCAGCGTTCACGTGGGGCGTCTACCTCCTCGCCAAACACCCAGAAGTCCAAGACCGACTCCGCCACGAAATCCGCCAACGCCTCCCTCCCCTAACCCAAGCAAAAGAAACCCCAATATCCAGCGTCAACATCGACTCGATGCCCTATCTCCAAGCAGTCTGCAGCGAAATCCTACGCTTCTACGCCCCGGTCCCTCAAACCCTCCGCGAAGCAGCCCACGACACCACCATTCTCGATCAATTTATACCAAAAGGCACACGTATCGTCATAGCACCATGGGCCATGAACCGGTGTACTAAGCTCTGGGGCAACGATGCACATTTGTTTAAGCCGGATAGATGGCTAGGTGAGAGTGCGCATGGAGGTGCAGAGAGTAAATATGGGTTTTTGTCGTTTTTGCAGGGGCCCAGGGCGTGTATTGGGCAGGGGTTTGCGAGGGCTGAGTTGGCTTGTTTGATGGCAGGTTGGGTTGGGAGCTTTGAGTTTGACTTAAACGATAGGAGATTGATGGATGAGAGGGTTGTTGATGTTAAGGGGGGTCTTACAGCGAGACCGGCTGGTGGGTTACATGTGAAGGTCAAGAGATTAGAAGAGTGGTAGAAGACTTAGACATTTAGACTACACATCGACAACAATTTGAATCAGATCAGGTTTATTGTATGCCTACATCGGGGAACTATCCAACATTCTACAGCTTAGCTCTCTTCTCGCCAGCAATATCCCCCAACCACTCCCCCACAAACCCAACACAATCATCCATCCTCTCATAAACAACTTGATGCGTCCCCTCAACCCACTTAACATCAACCCTCCCCTTCAACTTCCCAACATCAGCCTCAAACATCTTCGCCGGCACAGCAAAAGGCCTCTTGGGCATGATAGCAAGCAACGGAACGCTTATATCCTTGAACCGATCATAACACTCCGCGGGAGTCTGCTTGTCGTACCATAAAGCCCAGTCGAGTCTTGGATGGGCGATGAGTTTGACGCCTCCCTTTTCGTCGGGGACGATGCCGTGCTGGGTGAACATACGGATGGCGCGTTCGTCCCAGTTCTTTGTACGTTTAGTCTCGCGGAGTGCTTTCTCGACGGCGTTCCGATCTGGGAAGTTTTGCTTGAGACCTAAACAGAAGATATCTTTTGGAAGCTTTGTCATAGCGTCGTTGATCTTTCCGGCGGGAATCATAGCTGGGTCGACGACCATGAGGCTGCTGAAGATGTTTGGTGCGTGGACGGAAGCGAGGATAGCGGCTTGGGCGCCGAGGCTGTGTGCAAAGACGTGAAGATTCTGTCGTGTAGGCTGTTGAGCTTGGCCTGTTGGTTTGCGTGGCTCAAGGTTCTTCGGTAGCTCTCCCCCGGGCTGCACAGGGAGATAAGCTGTAAGGAATAGCAGCAAATCTCGAACGATATCCTTCTCATTGGCGTACAAGTATCCCACGGAATTAGCCTTAGCCGTCTGTCCGCTAAGAGGCATGTCTACCGCCCAGATCTCTTCAACATTGACACCAGACTTGCGCAGTCGAGGTAGAAGGTCTTCAAGCATAGGCTCAAACATCTCTTTCGGAACCCCCATGCCTGTAAGCGTGAAAAGAGTGATGCCCTGCTCAGACTTTTTGACTTGGTTCGTTGGTATTTAGCGCTTGGCGACCAGCTTAGCTGGCGGGACATTTGATGCCTTGTTCTGCACTGAGTCGGAGAATAGCTTAAATTCGCTACTGTTGGCTTTCTTGCTTGCGGGATCGTATGGGATGTTGTATGCCTCATCGTTGGGAATGTTGGACGGGTCGTCATTGAATCTGGCTGGTGGCCACGCAGCAGTCTCGTCGCGATCGTCTGTTCCTCGAAATATGTGTGTAGATGCTCGCCATTGGGACTCCTCAGACAGATTCGCCAACTCGTTTGTGGCATTAGCGTCGGTGGAAGGTAAGACAAGCGGACGGAGCAATGCCCGCTCATACGTCGTCGATAGATCGAAGCTCATGGTTATTGATTCCTTTTCCGCTCAAATCCTCGAAAAGACAGTTACAAAAGAATGCAAATTAAAGAGAGGAAAGAATGCAGTTCAGCTTATTGCAGCTGTATTTCGATCAACTCATCCCGAGGCTGATCTATTTCCGAATTCGGCAATTATACAGAGCATCCATGCTGCGGTGCCGTGTACCCGCTCCCCACGGGGCTATTTGAAGCTAATTCTGTCAATCAAGACACTTGACATCATTGACATCATATCAAGGAACTCGATGAAGATCACGGTTGTGGAATGAAAATCAAGTGGAATCCTTCCGCTCTCATTCCGTGCCTTGCAGCATGCCCGAGAGACTTCAGCTCCGAGATGTTGTACTAGCTCTAAAAGTGACAGTAGTAGTCACTTTATTATATCAAATGTAGTCACTTGCTCGTTTATGAGGGACTACGTGAGCTAGGCTTTTATATGTTGTGGTGAAAGCCTCCGCAGGTATGTATCGGTCTCATTTTGATTGTCATCAGAATGTCAGGATAACAAAAATCCTTGCTGATCAATCTAGATTAAACCTATTGTATTCAAGAATATATAATTAGATCCTTTTGACGCCCTGCTCCCAAAAGTGCTTCTTCAACTTTCCGTCCCCCTAGTGTCAACCTGTCCAAGTCTGACACTCTCATCATGTTCCATCCTTACAATCACCCTTCCAGCCTCCTTCTGCAAATCGTCCAGGTCCGTCTCCTGCGTGTGGCCCACCACGTTAGGCCCATAAAACAACAATGGAAGAATTGAGGTCTTCCACACTGGCATTCCGGGGTTAGTAAACCCCTGGACAACGGCGACTATCAACAAGAGCATCGTGATGGCCATCAGACCAGCCGGCAACAGCACCCACCGCCAGTCAAACACAGTACAGATAGCCATCTCTGTAGCTTGACCTGTAGCTTTGTCATTATCTTCCAGGGAACCGTCTCTTATAGCCTTTATACCCTGCTTGCGGAAATTGTTTGTTATGGCGGTTGTGAACAAGTCAAAAGAAGCATCGAGACCTTCGAACGTTGAGTTGTAGAGTGGAGGTAGCCACCACTGGTCGCCACAATCAAGCTGGTCTTTTGCGCCGCCGACAACATTGGCCAAGCAGACGGTGTTGAAGAGTGTTTTCTCAATGAAGCGTCTGAGTGCTTGCCGGTACCGAAAGGTGAGTCTGTAGACACATTGATGCGGGACTGTGTAGTTGGTACCGTCGATCGGGACAATTGTTTCAGAGTCTGAGGGATCCTTGGTTTGGGAAAAGTTTGCAAGTTTGTATTCCTTGCCATCGATCAGACAGGGGGTTTGTACGCCAACACGATTTCCTGCCTCGTCATTGGCAGCCCTGTTGTAATCGATGGGCTGCTCGTCAACCACCTTCTCAATAAGCGATCCCCTCTCCACCTTGCCGTAGTATTTCTTGATGCAAGGGTACAGGGCACATGAAGTTGCTACAGCATTCTGATAGCGCAGGGACACTGGGACCTTTGAGGTCAGCCTATCCTCAGGACAAGTTGCGTTTGTGCTGGTAGTAACGTTGCAGCCCTTTTGCGTGAAGCTTAGGGTCGTGATGTTCGAAATAGCGACTTTGGCCAACTGGGCAAACCTAGAGTTAGGCGTGTCGAACGCCCATTCTAAATCTCCAGACATGACCATTACCTGGCTGCTGTCGATTGCCTGAAGCCACTGCCCATTTGGAAGAGTGTAATTGTAAATCTTGCCGGCGTAGCCCCCGGCTCCACTAGCGTTTTTCTTGCTAATGTTTAATTCGATGAACTCCGAGGTGTCAATGCAGGCACTGCACATGGCAACAGAGGAATGGGTTATTCCTTGGGAATTCGATGGAAATGTGCAGTTTCCAGTAGAGCAAGTTGCAGCTACGTCTGTGTCCTTGCCCGTAGGATTAACAAGGCCATTCATCATGGCGACTTTCATATCACCTGAAAGTTCGTTGCTGGCGGCACCTGTCTGAAAGCTTGAATTGATGGCAGGGACATAATGAGAGATTGGTAGAGATGCCTGCCCTTGGACTGTTCTTGCACAAGGAACTGTACTGACAGACTGCTGGGCGAAAGGAGTGATTGCAGGAGATACGATAATGACAAGAGCGGCGATAATGCTCGTGAGTCGTGGAGGAACAGTCCAGAATAACTTCATCGTTCCAAGGATGCCGCGACTAGCATTATTGAAATGATGAAGATCGGAGACAGGACGGGGCTTCTGCAAAGCATTCCATCCCATCTGGCCGATGAGCTCAGCAACGACAAGCAACATCGAGGCTCTCATAAAGGTGCTGAGAATAGCAATAATTGTGTTGAGACTGATGTCGTACGGCCATGGTTTCAAGACTCTGTTGTTGTTCTGTGCTGGGATAACAATCGTAGCTATCAGCAAGCCCAGAGCCAACAATAACGACAGAGTCTCCCATAGCCAGGAACGAATAGGGCCAGGTTTTGCTTTTCGTGAAGAGACATCTTTGGTTGTGATATTGACGTCGTGGTGTTTGTGTTGTCTCGAAAAGGTCTCCATAATGAATGTTGAGTAGTTATGATGAACGCCACAGAAAGCACAGAGCAGCTTCCCTCTTTATCATTGCCTCGAAGCGTTCCCCGAGTCCTAAGAATGCCTTACCTTCTGCAGCCGAGAGGCGTGGTACTTGGCTCCTTCGGAGACCAGTTAGTGCTAAGCGCCAGAAATGGCGGGCGGCACTAACAAGTTTGCAGGGCGGTTTTGGCTGTTCCTTGTACCTAATTGCAGGGTTTATGCTGTAGATGAAACGCATACAACCAACATGCATAGGGCACAGCCAATAGCACGCGTCAATTTCGCGCTGAGACACACTTTAATGGATCATCGCAGAATCCTTTTATTAGATCATGTTATGATCGTCAATTTATTCTGGAACCATTGAAAAGTTGTCAGAAATAACTGTAGCCTTAACGATTATTTTGTAGTGAATAGAAGTGTTGATGCTGATATAGAATACCTTGGACTTGCTATGAAATTTTCCATGACCCTATCATAGGAAAAGGCCTTAGTTAGATCTAGAGACAATAGAATGGATGTAATAAAAATTCTAGATCTCGATCATTTACTACCAACTTCAACGCAGGCGGTTAAACTTAAGCGCTTGGTCAACCTCCAGCCTCGGGAAGTGCTATTCGCGTCAACAGCTCCAATCGGAATGCCTGTGTCTATTCGCTTACGATTGAAACAGGGTATCAAAGGGAAAGTCAAGATATTTACAGAGTATTATTTATCGTTGGATCTTGATCCTTGAAGCTTGGTATTGGTAGCTTGGCCCAACACTTGACCAGATTGATTTTGTCTATCCTTTCACGTGTGTTTTGGGACTTGTTATCTCAAACGATGCTTCAGTTAGGCTTGTATTGACAAAGCGTTGTCATAGAACTAAGAAACTGTTGACATTCATGGCCCTGGTGACATATTCATCCACCTCTGGCTTCATGTACCTTGACGTAGCTTATTTCTGTTCAGAGTTGTCAGAGATGGTAGCCTTTGGAATTTTTTCAATACTTACGCCGCAGTTCTTACATGAGCAGCTCTGGCCACAGGAGCAAGAGCCTGGTCCGCCGCAGTTACAAGTAGATCCACAATCGCAGGCCATGATGACAGACGTAAGGTTATATATAAGTTATATGTGATAAGATAATGACTTGAGAGATTCGAATATCGACAGTTCTGAAGGCTCAAGTCATGAACTTGGCTACCCAAGCGCTTTATATACCCCAACCCCCGCATCTAAATCCGGCAACGGGCCACATGTGATGGATATGAGCATGATCATGACGCAGTCGTGACTAGATTCTAGTTAGAAGGAAGTTCTTCGGGCCGTCGGTAATTGTTTGCTCTAGTGGGGATACACTTTGGCCTTTTCCAAACTTGGATATACACCAAGTCACGAGCTGGTGGCATCAGCCTATCATGTTTTGGGTATATGACGTTGAACAATGTCACGTAGGCTTACCACTTATACAATTGCCGTGTAAATTATATGACATTAGTTTCTGAGAAGAATTGAGCAAGTCGCAGCTGTCACAACATAGATTTGCCAGCCTGCAGAAGGCTTCGACGACCTGGTTGTAGACGTCAACAAGTGAAGTTTGTTATATAGAATGAGTTGGTAGGTATTCGATTTGAGCCTACAAGTGACAAGGAACTGCATCACAGTCATGGCATGATCCGCTCTACGTCAGTTATCCTTCAACTTATCCAGCGCACCCTTCAGCTTGGCCCCTGTCTCGGTGGACATTCTTTCAAATGCCTCTATTCACGCGAAGACAGATTAAACAATCAGAGATATCCAAGGAACTATGCATAGGGTACTAACCGTCGGGTGATCCATCCAAGGTAATCGGGTACATATGCCCAGAGAGCCAAAGTGTTGCAGGACTAACACCGCCTGAAGAGTGGCCTAGGTTCTGAGGGATATCGACTCGGAGAAATGGTAGGTTTTCTGCCGGATTTTCAGGGACAGAAATCATATGTCGCTTACTAACTATACCTACGATGTGAAAAGTGGGAGGATTCGTGATTAAATTGGAGTGGAATGGTTTCAGAGTGAAGGAAAGGACTGGAGCGGACAATAGCAGACCGTATTTCGTGCCCGACTCTGGGCTCAATGTAAATGTAGCTTTCATCTGCCTTACCAATCTTAATATCGATCTTGTATGAGACATATTGACCCTTTGAATCGACATTGCTGAATGTCGCGACGGCGCTGTGAAATAACCGACGCCAATGCTTTAGGGTAGGCCCGGCTCTCCGGAGCGATGGGCGGTGTGCGCGTGAGAGCATCGTTTACAACAAAAATGGACCGTGTTGCATCCGTGTCGACGGAGGTAGTCAGGAAGAAGGGCGCGAATTGCTGTTGATTAACATGAGCCGCGAAGCATGTCAGGTGATATCGTAGCCTGGGCGTTGGTCCAGTCACGAACAAGGCGGGACAGAGAAGACGAAAGTGGCCAGGGCAATCAACTTCAATGAGCTATGCAAATGTATTACTCAAGCTTCAATTCATTATCATGATTCCTGCTCATCAAGCGACTGCAACCTAGGTTGTAACTCCTCAAAATTCGACTTGCCCTCCTCATTCGGGTATGCCTCAAACACCATCCTCCTCATAAGCCGACGCGGTGCTCTCCGACCAGTAAACAGCTCAAACTGAGCAAAGCCCTGCTCCGGCAACATATCAAGACCATCCATACTCACCCAGCCGCGATGCGACTCTGCTCTGAATTGAGCTAGGAATGGTGTATCTAATGTCTTGTACCCTAGGTCAATTGCGACACCACCAGTTCGACTTCCCAGCCACTCATTGGGGAGGGTAAGGTCGGGGGCCGGGACGTTGCCGATGCGGTGCGTCGGGATACAAGAAACAATGACGGTGGGTAGGCGGAATTCTGTTGGCCAGGCATCTTCTATTGACTCGATGACATGGAAGCGAGAATGCTCGCTACCGGCGCTCAGTAGGCCATTGTCTCTCCTCTCAAGGACCTGCGTAAAGTGCGACACCATTTTCTCGGCGTTCTTTGGTGTGCGGTTATAGATGACGATGTTCTTAATACCAACTTGAAGCATCGCGTAGACCGTTGCTCTAGCCATACCGCCTGCCCCGATCACCAGACCACAGGTGCTGGACACGACGGCGTTAGCGGGAGAGAGGCCACGGCGAATGCATGCGCGAATGCCCATCCAGTCGGTGTTTTCGCCATATAGAGCCTTAATGGGGCCAGAGCGATTGACGCTATCGAAGAAAGCCGCCCCAGTTGGTATTGTCCCATCTTCATTTAAGAAGCGAATGGGAATCAGCGTGTTGACAGCACCAATTGCGCGGGCGTGTTTGCTCAACGAATGGGTCAAGGTAATGATCTCAACTTTGAAGGGGAGGCCGATTGAACCCCCACCAAATTCTGGATCCTCGATTAAATGCTTGATTCCTCGAAGCGACGCGCAAGACACGGGCTCATATGTATGGGGCAGCCCGCATGCCTTGAGTGCTGCTGTGTGCATCGCAGGAGACAAACTATAGCTCACGTTGGCGCCGAAGACGTAAAGCTTCATCTGGTCGTATATAAAAGACGAGAAAAGAGCTTCTGTCGCACCGACCGTGGTGATGGACGGTGTTATTGGGGGCCTGGGATTCACCCGCTCCAGCGAATCTGGTCGGACAACAGTAAGAATGCGATTGAAAGCTTGGGAATTCCGACCAAGAGGGCCAGAATTGTAAGATATAAGTGGGATCTTGGGCCCCTGTAAAGCTGCAACTGATGTCTTGAGGTGGTGAATGCGGAAATTGTCTTCGATGGTAACTGCCGGTCGAATCAATCTAGCAAGATGACATCCTAGATTGTTGGCCTTCTTATACCACGACATCCATATTGGGGATTCCCATGAAGGAGGATCTGTGGTGATGAAGCAATTGCCTATCATCTTTGTTCTCTTTCGAATAGATAGTATGCGTGAGATGTGGACATCTTCAAGTCGAAGATCGACTGTCATCATTTCTGGTGCGAGACGCACGGAATGATGAATGAGATCAAGGTAGACACGCAAGACTTCGTCGCTTGCTGTATAAGGTAGAAATAGATGCAGGATTATGGGTAAGATGGTGCTTCGCCTTACAATACCAACACCTTTGGTAATGTTGGCAAGTAGTTTTCCGCTGGCTTCGGACGTCAATGTGCCTTGTTCGGCATGTTCAGCCAGGTCATGTACAACTATTTGTACAACATCTGCACCGATGACATGGTCTTCGACATCAACAGAGTCTTTAATAACATCTGAAAGAGGAATGGAGGTGGCATAGGTAAAGTTGCGCTCCTCTGCAGGTATCCTCGACAATGGGAATGCAGAATCTGTGAAGGGTATTGTGCCCGCGGGGTAAACAAGAGATAGAAACTTCAGGAAGTGTCGCTCGACATGTTTTAACGTTAGATATGGAGCGGGCGATCTCTGTGTCAATGACTCTCGAGAAAGCGACGACTTGGAAGCCTTCTCTGTGACATTGAAGAACTCAAAGTTGGTGCAGGACCTGAAGATGGCGTTGCTAACATCGAGCAAGCTCTGGACCTTGGAACCATCGCGAATCTTGAGATGATTCTTAATGGCATCGAAATCACGGACAATGTGAATAACAGGGTTGGTAGCCGCAAACTCTCGGAGGAGACTCTGCACGCGACTCTCCATCCAGGAACAGACAAGGATACAGCCAGTCGAATGTCGCTGCAAAATACTTTGCAAGACCTTGGCTTGCTGCTTGTAACACTCTGAAGACCCATGTTCGGACTTATAAGCGGCACTCGATAGACCCATGGATCTCTGGAAAGCTGGCTCCAGATCAATGACTTTGCGGTCCATTGCCGAGGATGCCATTATAGCTAATGTCGACTTTCCAGCTCCGCGCATACCAACAAGTATCATTGACGCGTCTGGACTGAAATCAGGGACCTGCCCAGTCAAGGGAGGAAAGGTCGGAGAGGGCGTTCGAGTAAGTCCATCGTGTTGGTCCGTATTTGACGGAGCCGCGGATTGAGAATTGGCTCTCGAATTGGCCCGAGAAGTAGCCCGCGATGGAGGTTGAGACTGGAGCACATCGCTCAGTTTAAAAGGCTGCGATTGCGGTGTCGAATTATCGAGGTTATCGCGGGGAATTCCATGATTGTAGTGGACGGTCTTCGGTCGGCTGTGGCCGTTTGGTCGAAGCAAGGTATCCTCGTGGCCAAGAAAGGTCCCCAGGGACCTCTTGACGCCTGCCATTTCGTGCTGCATGTGTCCGGACTCTTTTGACGAGTGCTGTTTCAAGAAGGCGCCATAGTCACCGGGATATCGCTGTTGTTGAGGCTATAGAGAAGGATCTCTTTGTTGGGTAGGGGAGAATGGGTGATGTGGGCTTGTCGAGAAGCGCTGAGTCCGACTGTCAGTTGTGAAGTGGGTGGGCGATGGGCGAGGAAGCTCGGTAGATCCCCCACCAGACAATCCGGGGCAAGCGAGAGGCGATTGGTCGGGAAAGCATTTATCCGACCCACTCCGAGGCCCTGTCCAATTACAGGTGATTCGGCCGTCGGAACTTGGAGGCTGGAAGCTACAGACCGTCCCAAAGCAACACAGAATTATTCTAGGGCCCCAGATTCTCCCCGCATCACGTCTCATCGCATCGTATTGCTTTTGTCCGGCACTGTTGCTTTGAGATTTCGGTCATGGGAGACAGATCTACATGACAATGGCACAGGAATCGCGTATCTGAGCTGAGCTTTATTGACATGGGACTCGTACACAATTCCACATCATCGTCATACTAGCAAGCATTGATCCCTCTTCACACTGCTGTTAGGCTTCTCTCCCCTCATCTCTCTTTTCATTTCGTCATGACTGCTGGCCTCGCGGCGCAGGCATATCATTCATTCTTTGGTCAACTACATCCAAGCAATGCCGCCTAGGAAACGCGAAAACGATGCGGATACTACCAGCGCTCCCGCAACCACAGCTCCCGCCAAACGTCAACGAGTCTCCCTTGCCTGTGATTCATGTCGCACTGCTAGGGAAAAGTGCGATGGCGCCCGTCCTCACTGTGGAACATGCACCGCGCAAAACAGGCCATGCTCATACACCCCTGCGTCCCGCAAGAGAGGCGTGCAGACGGGATACCTACGGACAATTGAGTTGTCGCTGGCATGGCTCTTTGAGCAGGTTCCTGGCTGTGAGGGAGCTCTTCATCGTCTACTTACACAGAATGATGGAGCAGATGGTACCCGCATCCTCGCGACGAAGGACAAAGCTGGGCATCGCCTCTACCGACGATGGAGCAAGAGTCGGGTTCACAAAGACATTGGCAGGTTGCTGTCGGATGAGAAGACGCCCCAAAACGATACATCCGCAGACGACTCGGGAACTGAAGATAGCAGCCCAATTGGTGCACAATTGTTTGACGGCAAACCATCACCCGGACTATCGATACAAGGCGTCAATCCATCACAGACGAGCATCCCGGCGGCATCTTACAACTTCAACTCAGACCAGCCATCATTACCTACCAAGCTGACATTACCCCCACACTGGAAAAGACTTGTCGACATCTACATGTCTTACACTCACAGCTGGTTCCCAATCATTGAACCTGGAGTCATCACACGCACCGCTCTGATGTATCCTCCAGAGGGCCTTATCATCGAAGCAAATCCCTCGTCGGCACTACACGCTCAGCTTTGGGCCGTTTTTGCTGTCTCTTCATTTCAAGACGCGGCTTCTTCCAACCCATCACGACACAACGGGTTCTCTCCTAACGAAATTTACTCTATCGCGAAACGGCTTATACCCGACGACGACGAGACGTTCGAATTGGCCCATATCTCCTCACTCCTCCTTCATTCGCTAGTACTCATGGGCCAAAAGAAGACGATGACAGCATGGATCCTGATAGGCCGGGCTTCGCGCCTTGCTTTGCATTATCGCGCGACAGCATCTCACATGTTTCCGGTCAAGGAAGGCGACGCAGCTTCTCTGAACCACAACGAAGTCAGGGTACTGGCGGGAAGCTTTATCCTGGATTCTCTTGCTTCACTTAGTCTTGGTCAACCGCAGGTGACATCGGGAATTCGACATAGCCTTCCTTCTGTTGTCATAGAACAAGCTCTGGACTTGAACGAGCCATGGACTTCGATTCCGGGGTTCGGAAAGGCGGCGGACGATGGACAAGAATCAACACCAGATTGTGCATCACCACTATCAACTTTTCGACAACTTTTCGCCTTCTGTAGACTTTGGAGTACCAGCATGGATGCAAGGCTATACAACGACCGCAACCCTCAACGGATCACCCCAGAAGACCTTGTCAGGAGCCTGGACGCTCGGTTTTCATTTTGCAATTCCCTCATCTTCGGTGGCTCGACGCCAAGAGTGCCCTCGGCATACCTGCTCCAAGGCATGTTCTTGGCAATCACCTTGGACTTGGTGCCAGGCCATCGGCCGTCCCTCTTATCTAATTTCATAGAGGTTGTTGAGTCGTGTCTGGAAAACTTTGGACCAGGTGGAACACCGCCAATCATAGCCATCTTGATGGATATAGTCAAGCAACACGGCCATGGGAACCGAATGCCAGAACACGACCAAGTCAAGTGGAATTCGACAATAGGATCGCTCACAGACGGCTGGAAGCTCAAATATCAAGGGTTGGAGGCCCCTAAAAGCAACCAGCATACACCTAGTTCTGTGGATACCTCACGCCGCCCAATAGTGAGCCCATCATTTATGGATGAGATATCAACCGCCTCTCATCCCTCGCATCACACAGACCACCCTGCCCCTATCACATCTGGGGAACTGGAACATGAGCTCGGCCGAATGCAGCAACGCCAAAAAGAGCAACAAGCGTTATCATACGAGCGACAACGTTATCAAACTGCAGACCGCAGCCCGGCTACTTCACAGTCTCTATACACACTAACACCCAACCTGACCTTTCATACCCTTCACACACCATCTCTTGATGGACAAATGGGATCATTACAAAACTCGATGCCGAGTCAACTACTTGATTACGACGCAATTCTGGATGAACTTGGATCCATAGACTGCGCGGATGGTATTGATGTGGATCCTCAGTTTATGACTAACTTGGGCTTTGCGCCAGGATGTGATCTGGGCGAGATGTTTCAAGGTGATTTTGGGACATGATTTAATGCAATCTAATCAATATTTACACGGATACACATTCACCCAAGTTGTCACTGTCTGCCTGCCTGTGATGTCTTGGCTGATGGGTCGTAAGAGCTGCCCAGACTGACAGCGCTGATCACATCTATTCAGGACGAGATCCTTACAACATCCCAGCAGTAACAACCCTTCATCCTCGGAGAATGTTACAATTTTGCTGACGCGGTGTGTTGGAGCTGCTCAAAAACGTCCAATCAACCTCGGAATAGTGCCGACGTCGCCGTGTGAATGGGGAACACAGGGATAAATGACGAGCGCTTGAGATTTTCTCCCCATTTCCTGACGAAACAAGGTTAGATCCGCGGCCACATGGTGGTAATGATGCGGAGACAGTTGAGTCAGGAAGTGGCACCGCGGAAAAGTCTTTATCCCTAACACGTTTTCTCACCAACATGAGACCCAGACACCCTCCGCGTCACAGTAAACAGACAATGGCAATCTCGAATCTCATGCAACGACGGAAGCATATTCTTCCCCCACAGATCCAACCCCGCAAACCCCAGACTGAAACCCCAATTCTGGAGAAGCAATTGTGAGGTTGTTGAATTGAGTTGGCCCTTGCTGGCCCAGCGGCACACTAGTCTTTGGAGACGTTTGACTAGGGGCAATATGGGTCAACTTGACTTGTATAAATCTTTGCCCCCCACCGGGTTTTGAGGATTGTCTCTTCGACTCTCCAGTTCATCCACAACCTTCTTTGCAACCTTATCTCCCCACAAGCTGCAACAGTTCTCAAGCGGTAAAGTTCAGGTTTGAACCTTGAGACGTCGCAATCATGGGCCTCTTGACTCTGCAAGAAGATCGGCCCACGCCGAAGGCCGTCTACAACTGGCGCGTCTACACATGCGCCGCCATTGCATCAATGGCTGCTTGCACAATCGGTTACGACTCTGCTTTCATCGGCACGACACTTGCTCTGCCCTCATTCGTGCAGGAGTTCAACTTTGAGAACTATGAGCCTAACGCGCTTGCGCTGGTGAAGCAGAACATCGTATCTGTGTACCAGGCCGGTGCCTTCTTTGGATCTCTGTTTGCATATGTCAGCAGTTACTTTATTGGTCGCCGATACTCTCTTATCCTCTTCTCTCTTGTCTTTATGGTCGGTGCTGGTATGATGCTGGGTGCCAATGGAGCCCGGGGTCTCGGCCTTATTATCGGTGGACGCGTCTTGGCCGGTATCGGTGTCGGTGGATGCTCCAACATGACACCCATTTACATCTCAGAATTGGCTCCTCCCGCTGTACGAGGTCGTCTTGTCGGTCTTTACGAAGTCGGATGGCAAGCCGGTGGTCTTGTTGGTTTCTGGATCAACTACGGAATCAACCAGCACCTCCCTTATGCCCCTGGCCAGAACGAAAACGTCTGGCTGATCCCCTTTGCTGTTCAGCTCATCCCTGCTGGCCTTCTTCTTATCGGTGCCGTCTTCATTCCTGAGTCACCTCGATGGCTGTTCTCCAAGGGCAAGCGCGACAAGGCTATCAAGAACCTCTGCTGGATGCGAAACCTTGACCGAGAGGATATCTACATCGTTGAGGAGATTGGCTTCATCGATGCTGAGATCGACCGATTCAACAGCGCTGTTGGCGCTGGCTTCTGGAAGCCTTTTGCTGCTCTTAAGGAGGCCAAGGTTCGGTGGCGTTTCCTCCTTGGTGCTCTTCTCTTCGTCTTCCAGAACGGTAAGCACACTCATCTAGGTTTTCACTCCAGTGACTAACATTTTCCAGGCTCCGGTATCAACGCTATCAACTACTACAGCCCCACTGTCTTCCGAAGTATCGGTATTACTGGTACCAACACTAGCTTCCTCACCACCGGTATCTTTGGCGTTGTCAAGACGGTAATTACCTTCGTCTGGATTCTCGTTCTCATTGATCACGTCGGTCGCCGAAACCTTCTCATGATTGGTGCTGGTGGCGGTGCTTTCTGTATGTACTTCATCGGTGCTTACATCAAGATCGCCAACAACGAAGCCAAGGTCGCTGCCGGAGAGAATCCCACGCTGTCCTCCGGTGGCATCGCGGCTATCTTCTTCTTCTACCTCTGGACCGCTTTCTACACACCCTCATGGAACGGTACACCATGGGTCCTCAACTCTGAGATGTTCGACCAAACCACCCGCTCTTTGGGTCAGGCCAACGCCGCTGCCAACAACTGGTTCTGGAACTTCATCATCGCCCGATTCACCGAGCAGATGTTCAACGCCTGGGGATGGGGAGTATACATCTTCTTCGCCTCTCTCATGGTCGTTTCCGTCTTCTTCGTCTTTTTCTGCATTCCTGAGACCAAGGGTGTTCCTCTTGAGGCGATGGACAAACTGTTTGAGACTAAGCCCATCTGGAGGGCCAACAAGATTGTCATGGAGGAGTTGAGACTCCAGGATGAGGAGTTCCGCCATAATGTTGATGGTGCTGATCTGCGAGAGGAGAAGGCCAATGCTGAGCAGATTGAGGGCAAGGTCTAAAAGTATTGATGATTAAATGCGGAATGAAATGCGAATTTAAATAGAAGCCAGATTGGATTAATATACCCCTTGTACATCACTTTCGTTTTCCTTTATAGTTGGATTATTAACCATGCTGGCTGGTATAATTGAACTGCTTAAGTTCCGTGTGAAATTATAAGCTTCCAACCACAAATCTCAACTGCAAATAAGAGGCCTGGCTCACAATTCACAAAACTATGTCGTGACCTTTTTTACCTCCATTCAAAGAAGTATAAGATTGATTGATCGATTGATAGTTAAAGCTTATGACGTGTCAACGAAACATATCAAGCCAACAAACTGAAAGATTACAATTAACTTCAGCTTATGAAAGGCAGTTCAACAAGTATAAGATGCTCTGATTTTCCAGCCAAGACGATCAAACTAAGTCCTTCGCTCATTCTTTCAAGTCTCTCACACCTTTGTCAATATGGCCTCATGGAATTCCCTCCCGCCCGAGATTCGTCAGATGGTCCTCCAGTCTGCGATTTCTCAAAGCCCATCCCTTACGGCACCTGTCTTGGCTACAGTATGTCGAGATTGGCAAGACTTTTTCGAGCGATCAACATTCAAAGACCTGGCCTTGACCAACGGTGATTTGTATACTTTCGCCTCAGCTATCAGGGGCAATGTCACCCGACTCGGGTATATCAGGACCCTACGTCTGCGTATCAATCTCATGCCCTACAGTAGCCATGTAAAAGAAAAAACTGAAAGTGCGACAAATATCACACAGTAAGTAAACTGTTAGATTCTGCCGCTTTGTTCACTGATTGAAAAGCATTCATGGCTTGTGATATCTTGACTGGACAGACAGAGCCAGCAGACTACTGATCATAGATACACTTTCTAACATCGCTTAACAGGAACAATAGAATTTTTACCCAAGCCATAGCAGTTCTTTTCAAGGTCCTATCGTTGTGGAGGGGTGATTACGGAGGACTCGAGCTTGAGCTTGACGCACGGTCACCGAGTGACTGCTGGTACTTTGCTTTCATACACGAACTCCACGATGACTTTCTCTTCCGCTTCCAAGATGAAGACGAGCTTTTCGATGCCGTAAAGTTGTTCTACAAACAGAGATACGAAGAAACAAAGAGAATATGGGGCCCACCCATATCAACGTCTTCAAACTTGAACAGGACTCTCAACGGCGAGACGCTCAGACGACTTAGGGGGCATCACCTCGAACTCAAGCCGTCATTGATGAACAGAGGGCATCCTTACTCTCAAGTTGTGCGGAACCTACCTGCTACACCGATTGTGAAGGGGCTTGTGATTCGAAGGGTCGCGCCTCGACTTATCGCACTTGAATCACTGGGCAAGATTATACGGGAGAGCTTTACGGCGTTGGAATACTTCTCTTATTCTACTTACATGGAGCAAACTGATGATAAAGAGCGAGACTTTCTCGATGGTTCACCTTCCCCTTTCCGGTCCAACTGCTGAACTAGACGAAGCTGACAACTATAGGTCTTGCTACACAGCTCCTGACCTCCCTGCCCACAACCCTCACGAGATTTAGGTATAGCAGAAGACCAATTAAAGACTCATGCGATCCTTGGGTCAATCACCGTCCGTTGGCGTGCCTCTTCGCCCGAGCATGCCACCGGTTCGCTGAATTCCGCCTACCGCAGGACCTCCGCCTGGCAACATTCTTCGACGAAATCACAGCGGCTGGAAGGTGTGAGGAGTCCAAGCTCGAGAAGCTGTCTATCACGAGCATCCATCTGCACCACGCGGCACACCAGCGCTATGTAACTTACTGTCTGATGTCAGCCGCCCGCGCAGCAGCGACGATGCCTCGCCTGCGGACCATGGAGCTCTGGTGCTCCTACCCCTATTATGGAATTCTATTTCGGTGTGAAATGGATGCTTACAAGGTTCAAATCACATGGAGATATCTAAAGAATGGGCAGAGATTGGCTCTCGAGGAGAAAGTGGTTCAAGAGTGGAAAAAGGTTGCTTCAGCTCGCCTCTTCGATGTGAACAGCGCGCCTTTTGATGACACTGTGGGGAAATGGGAAAGGTCAATGATACTTCCATACTTGCATCTGAAACGGCTTGCTTGTAGTCCACTTGAAGAGGCGCAGATGAGGGCTTTTCAGCCTGGGCATAGAAACTGCTGGTATGTTCCGGCGACACATGAATACCGCGGCGTTTATTAAGTATCCAGTTTCTTCATGTTGGGGAAAGACTTGCATAGGTGAAGTGTCTCTTTGTTAAGATAGAGCTGAGTTGGTACAGGATAAACTGATCAGATTTCCCTCTCATGCTGGGCCCCTTATCACTGGTTCCCCTTCCACGCAGCATACTTTTGATAAATATCCTTCCTAAATACATCCTTCAAATCTGTAGCGACGCCTCCATTGAGAGGCAGCTTTGCAAGAACAGCCCCAACACCACAAATATCATTCTTGCGATCAATGAACCACGCAAACGTCAAGCCTCCACCCCACGACATGGTATGAGCACCATACCACCCCTCGACATCTTCAAGTGTAATAGCACCTCCAAGGCCATGTCCAAGCTTCGTCTCTTCACCGATACCAACTCTGAAGAAAGGTCCTAGTGGACTAGCCAGCATGCCTTGTTGACCACTAAGTGCTTCAGGAGCAAGATGATTCTCAAACATGTCGGTGCAGGTTTCGGGCTTGAGAAGTTTTCCGTCGTTGGCGAGTAGGGATTGGATTATTCTGAGATAGGTCGGCGCAGGCATGGCAAGACCGTGACCGCCGAAACATCCATCTGATCGGCCGTTGATTTCAGCTCCTTGGCCCATGACTGCAAAGCCAAGACCTTTTGGGTCATCGGGGTTGAGATCCACGAGACGCTCACGTAAACCCTCTCTTGTAACAGGGAAGAACTGCGCGTCGGTTTTCAAACCAAGAGGCTTCAGAATACGCTTATGAATGTGCTCTTCCAAGGTATTTCCGGTAACACGCTCAACAATTCGACCAGCCCAATCTAGACCAGAGCCATACATCCATCCTTTTCCAGGATGATGCAAAAGAGGATAGGTGAAAGTATCCTCAACTTTTCTCTTCTCTCCATCCTTGGGTTTATACTTGCTGCTCCATTTTCCTATGTTTGGATCCAGGAAATCATACGCTACTCCAGCGCTGTGCGAAAGTAGCATTTCAAGGGTGATAGGTTGACACGCTGGTTCAAGAATCGGTTCATCATCTTCTGACCAGCCTGTCAGGACCTGTTTCTCAGCTAGTTCCGGTGCAACCTTTGATAGATCCCCCTTGAGAGTTAGAAGACCATCGTCAACGCACTGCAGAGCTGCGATGGAGGCTATGAGCTTAGTAGCTGATGCGAGGGAGAGGAGATCATCAAGCTTCTGAGGACGCTTTTCGCCAGAAAGAAGAGTTCTCTGGCCCAGGGCTTTGTTGTAGGTGAAGTCTCCCTTGGAGTTGGTGGCACATATGATGCCTCCGTTGATCTGGCCGGAGTCGATGGCGGCTTGGAAGTTCTTCTCGATGGTCCTCGCCATTGCAAGAGTAGAGAAAGATTTGATTTTGATGGGTGGTTTGAAGGATATAGTAAGGAGTGAGTGATGAGTGATTTTCAGTCTTGATAACATTGAGACTCTGAGTATTTATGCAGTTGATTGATGTAAGACAGAACATGTAATCATCCGAGGGGAGTACAGTCACGTGGGTCGCTATAAACGGCTTGTAGTTATACCAGCCAATCAGGCTGCTTAGTTTCCGAGTGAGCGAATGGCCGTCAAGTATTTCCTTCTCATCACCAGTATAATATAGCCGGTGACTCAACGGTCGAAATTCCCTATCCCTTTTGATTATGATAGAGATCTATTATATTCCCGAATACTCTCAAGGGACTTATTAAAATTGCGGCTTCAAGATTCGATTATCGATTCTCATGTGCTTGTTTGATCAACCAGTCAGACGACGTCACCCAGATATTCTGCCCAACTTGTGATCTCAAATGACTCACGTTGCTCAGTAAGAAATTGATTGGACCATCTATTGTATCGTCTGCCTCAAGCAAAGGCTGTGCTTATGCCTCAATCTCCCAAATCATGACGACCTAGAGACCAAAACTACCCTAAAAAACGTGTAAGACCCTGCAGATCAGTCGGGGTAATCATTCGGCCATGAAGCATTCTTACCGATACACGGTCAAAATGAAAGCAATAGCTGACAATTATGTGAGCTTGCCAGTGGAAACGTTTGATGTCCCTTGAACAGGCTCGATGGAATTGTTATGGCTCCTGGTTTTTAATCTCATTTATCTTCTAACGTTGATTATGCCTCTTTAAGCCGATCCAGTTGCTCAGCAAGACTTGGACTTTATTCTGTGAAGCATCGTGAGAAATATATAAATAGATGTTGGTTAGAGTTAAAACTGATCATATGAGAGCCAATGACATGAAACTGAGAGATTCGGTATTCAGGTGCTTTGCCTTATGTTGCCAAGCTAAAAATCTCCAACACTACGGCAAGATATCATCTTTGCCGAACATATATTTCTCAACCTCGACGTCACTCCCAGTTGACTCTCGAACACTCAAACATGCACACATCACCATGTCACCCTCAATGCCACTCCCCCAACCAGAAATGGTCCAGATACACGCCACCTCACACCCAGAACCAACAATCTCACCAGAGACAATAACCCGCATTAACGCAGCCTACGACTGGACAGGCCCCAACGATCCCTCCAACCCCCGAAACTTCTCCCTCCTCACCAAAACCCTCAGCATAGCATCAATAACATCCCTCGCCTGGTCATCCTGCTTCGCCGGCGCAATATACGCCCCCGCCCAAACAGCCATCAGCCATGACTTCCACCAAGGCCGTTTACCCTCTGTCCTCCCTCTGAGCTTGTATAACCTCGGTATGGCGTGCGGTCCACTCGTTGGAGCACCGCTATCTGAGACCTATGGCCGCAAGACGGTCTATGTGGCTACGACGCCTATCTTCCTTGCTTTTCTGCTAGGGTCG